CATTCCTGCTACTAGTGAGATGTTCCATCTAATGCTCTAGTGCATCTAGAACCCTGTTCCACAGTGAGGAGAACCCCCCAAAGAGAGAACAGTGCTCACTACTGTAGTGTTTTGGAGTTGATGAGTTCAGTTGAGTGCAGCTTTAGCAGCTGTTCTCAGATCAGTGAGAGTTTCTGAGTCAGAGCAGTTCCTCTACAGCTGAGGGAGGTTTTTGTATCGCGCTCTAACACTGTGTGAACGGAAGCTGGTTATACTGCTGACAGTAATAATCTCCTGCATCTTCAGGCTGAACTCCACTGATTTTTAGAGTAAAATCTGTTCCAGATCCACTCCCACTGAAACGAGCTGGAACACCAGACTGACGGTTAGATGCTCTGTAGATCAGGAGTTTAGGAGCTTCTCCAGGTTTCTGCAGATACCAGGCAAGACAGCTGCTGATGCTCTGACTGGCTCTGCAGCTGATAGTAACAGAGTCTCCTGGTGAAACAGTCTGAGATCCTGGAGTCTGAGTCATGATGACGTCCCCAAAGGACTCTAAAGAAAAAGAGAGAAACATTTCAAAATATCAGAACATCTATTTTTAAGTAAAAAGAAATCTAATATCAATAATAAAGGAGGTTAATGTGGCTCCTCAGAACTGAAATTTAACCCCTGACATTTACCTTGAGTCCAGAGGGTCAGTGTCCAGATGAAGATGGAGACCAAAGTCATGGTTGCTGTGGGTGAAGTTTGTGGGGCAGCAGCTCTCAGTCATGAAGTGTTAAACTCACAGGACTATAAACACTAGCAGAGCACTGAAGCATGGGCTGATAATGCAAAGTGGAGCCTCTATGGAAATGGACTCACCAAACACCTCTATAATAAACACATATGATTATTTAGATATGATTATAAAGTATTAGCTCAGTTCTGTTAATTCAGTGTCAGACGTTCATTTCTAAAGGTCATAAATAGTTGATGAGTGTAGAAGAGTTCAGGGTAAACAGTGATGAGTGATGGAGGTTTATGTACAATGACTTCACTGAAATGTATCACTGTGGTTCACTTTCAGTGGAGGAACCAAACTCACTGTGAAAAGAGACTTTTATTCTATTTAAACAGGAGATTCATTTAAATCATCTCATTATCAGTTACAATGAAGACATTCACAGGTTTTAATGAGAGGTTTGAACTGTTTTTATGACACTTCATCTGATGTTAGTTAGATTATGAGTTAGGAAAGTTCTAGTTGTTCCACTGTGTAAAGAGGAACTAGTAAATGTTCTCCAGTGCTAGAATGCATTAGTGCTGCTGCAGAGTTTCCAGTTCTTTTGAGTTTAGTCTGAGTTCTTTACTGTAATGAATGGTGATGGTCAGTGTTGTTAGAGAGGGAGTTCAGCTGTAGATTCAGTGCAGTGCTGTGTGTTGATCTTGAGGGAGTTTGGCTGAATTAAGCTGAACATCTGGTGAAAGTGCTGCTCTATTCTGGGAGAAAGAGGACGACTCAGGCCTGTTCATGCAAATCTGAGTTTCACCCCACTGCTCTCTCTCTCTCTGTCTGACTGATTACTGCTTAAAACTGCTTGTTTGTGTTCAGCTGGGTGGGCTGTGGGGGGCTGGTTTCACTTCTTACTTTAGTGCTTCCACTAACTGTCAGTGTACCCAGGTCAACCAAGCATTTATTGGTAACAACAACCCAAATGTAGAACAAACAGACACTTCTAATTCTTTGCCCTCAGTTTTCATCCTCCTTGACATGTCATCTATCTTTGACTGTGAACCCCCAGAACTTCTTCTCATCTTCAGGATCAATCCTACAAGGTGGCCTGGAAAGGGTATGTCTGGGCTCCTGACAGCCTCACTATTGGAGTTCCCCTAAATTGCAAGGTGCTAGAAGACAGGGAGCTCCAGGGCACACTGCAAACAGAGCTTTTAGTCTCAGGCCTCAGTCCAAGCTAGCATTGTGGACATCAGCAGCACCTGGAAAACAAAAATAAAAAAACATGAAACTGAACCAGGAAAAAGAAAACATGGAATGGAACCAGGCAGGGCCTTGACAATATGAACACAACACAAACTGGACTGAACAAAGTGATCTGCATGAGTCGTGTAAAAGATTTCCATAGTAACATAGTTTTACTTCACTACAGTGTGAAATGCCCCCTTCCTGACACTATAAGGTTTTAGCAATAATACAGTTCTTTATTTATTTAAACTGAAATATTCTGTGATGTGTATTCCTGACTAAATCTATAACATAAGAGACACTCCGTTCTCTCATTTGGTCACTTGCTTGTTTTGGTGTCATAACACTGTCATCACCCCTGCAGAAGGTTGTGTTTCTATCCAAGTAAGTGTTTCTATCCATCTGTCTTGAATAGTCCAGCTAATATCAGTCTGGATTCATGTTTTATTCTTTCTAATTTTAGGTCAGTTAAGACCTTAGTCAGTCCATCACAGTTGATCTGTGCTGTTTATATGATCATATCTGAGACTAACAGTCTTAGGCCCAGTCCCATTTCTTATGTTTAACCCTATCCCTTGTAGTCGAGTGTCACGTTGCCCTTTGGAATTGAGTTACAACAGGTAGTGGTTTAAATGTTCCTCTGAAATGGGACCCCCGAATCAAAAAGAGCATCACTTCATTAACAGCTACCAGCGCTGCTCTGTAGGCGACCCTGCCAGTCTGCAGTGACAGCAGAGGAGGGTAAAGTTCAGCTCCTCACTGCTGGGCTTTAGTTACATTCAGGGCATCATATGATCTTCAAAGAGGGGGGCAGTTATTTATTATCACCCACCCCTAATTCTTCAGTGATACGAAGCTGAAGTCAGATTTTCACCAGCTTCTTCCGTTTCATCTTAAATGGCACAACAGTTATATTACGGTGCTTCAGGCATCAGAACTGCTGGACTATTTAAGGTTGAAGGGGTAATTTAGCTAGCTAGCGAGACATTAGCATGCTATTAGGGGTTTTTTATGCTTGTTATGAAAAAAAGGACCATAATACACTGAAACGACATTAAACTAAGATAATAAGATGGTTATCGTAATTTTTGAACAGAGAAAATTCTCACATTTGTGGGTTCCTTTGGTCACTTGCTTATATATATATATACTTCACCTTGAATTAAGAATTATGTTGACATGGTATGTGATGGTCCTGTAGAAGAGCATGTAGTGTGTTTGTTCTGAGGGAAATAATGGGAGTATAAACAGTGTAATCAGTGCAGTGGTGAATGAAGCTCCAGCTGATTCTCCTGTGCTCTTTATCACAGTGTACAGAGAGTAATGGTGCAGCAGGAACATGGCCAGTGAGAAAACCCACAGCAGCGTTCCTGCACGCCTCCCAGTTCCACACTCCAGGATCAGTAGTGGGAGTTTTATTGATCAGTGTGGGAGGGTGGAGCTCCAGGAGGCTGCTGGGAGGGGCTGAGGTGGGCTGTGGCTCCCCCTGCTGGTCAGTCTGCCTGTCAGACTCCATGGTGGATCACTCTGTCTAACAGCACACCAACTGCTACTGACCACTGTTTTCATCAGATCCAGTTAGACTCTTGGGAAGTTCTGCACTGTAGGAACACAGAACAACAGTGTGAGTCGTGTAGTGTGAAAGGAGTTGAGAGTGAAAGAGCAGCTTAAAATCAGACTCAAGTAAAAGTGTTGATACTTCAGTGAAATCATGACTGAAGTAGAAGTAAAAGTACAACTTGAGTAAAAAAAGTATCAGATCTAAAATCGACTCGAGCTCTGAGTTTTTCTAAAGAGCTCAGTCGTGATCCATGACTTTTAGAGCAAGACCTCCAGTTCAGGACATTAATGTTAAAACACAGTCATAAATAAATAAATAACAGGACAATTAATCTGCTGTAGATAACAAATGTTGACACCTCTACGGTGTTTGTGATGTAACGTTGATGTGCACTAAGCTAACAGTGGTGCACATGTTGAATAAAATCAGAGAAACTGCTTGTTTACAAAATATATATATTTTTAGGCTAAATGGACAAACTATTGTTTACAGTCTACTCATCTCTGAATATCACCTCCTAATAAAAACTGATGAGTTTGTTGAAGGATTTCTTCAGGGACTCCCTCTTTCTCAGGACTGAGAGAAACATCCATTTCATAATCTGTCCAGATCCTTATAATAAACTTTATAATAAATGAGACTCTAGCTGAACTCTACAGCTAGTTCCAGACCTGTGGAGATCAGGAAATAAATCCCTAAAATCACAAAGCATTTACAGTCTAATGAAAAGAAGAACAAATTCCATCTAAAGTCCTGATTTCCACAGAGTGTGTTATTGTGTGTGTCCATCCTCCCCCTCAGCACCTGCAGTAGAGTCCAGCTGCAGCAGTGCAGTCTCTGTGCAGCTGACTGAGGGAGCTTTTTGTACACCTACTAAACACTGTGGGAACACATAGCTACTACTGATCTATGTAACTCTGACAGTAATAATCTCCTGCATCTTCAGTCTGGACATTACTGATGGTCAGAGTGAAGTCAGATCCAGATCCACTGCCAGTGAAACGATCTGGAACACCACCCCCACGTAGGTCTGCAGAATAGATCAGGAGTTTAGGAGCTTCTCCAGGTTTCTGCTGATACCAGGCTAAACGGTAACCCCAGGCACTGTCATGGTAAACTGCAGTGCTGATTCTACAGCTGATTTGAACTGTTTCTTTTGGACGTGAATAAATTACAGGAGTCTGAGTCACAGTCACCTGACCACTGGATCCTGAAATAAAGGAGTGAATAAAATGTTCATTTATTACAGTTAATCGATCCAAATTCCCACAGAAATATTGGTACACTTTGAAAAAACACACTGACACCACAGAGATAAATGAGTGAGTTACCTTGAGTCCAGAGGGTGAGTGTCCAGATGAAGATGGAGACCAAAGTCATGGTTGCTGTGGGTGAAGTTTGTGGGGCAGCAGCTCTCAGTCATGAAGTGTTAAACTCACAGGACTATAAACACTAGCAGAGCACTGAAGCATGGGCTGATAATGCAAAGTGGAGCCTCTATGGAAATCAATAATAACACATCCTGTCTGAACTCATACAATGACAAAGAAAATCTATTTTATATTATTAGACTATTATAAGAAAAGTTTAAGTTTAAGGACAGATATTTAATAGGCTCTGAAAAACATATATTTGAAATGTGAGACTGAAGGCTGAGGGTGTGTGTGTGTGTGTGTGTGTGTGTGTGTGTGGTCACTGTAGTGTATCAGAGGTTTTTGTACGGCGACTTCATTGAAATGTATCACTGTGGTGGACGTTCGGTGGAGGAACTAAAGTCATTCTGAAAAGTAAGTAACTTTTCTTCTTCCAAAGCTCCAAATATTGAAATAATTATTCTGATAATAAGTTACACTGAATGCAACTATAATAAAGAAAAAAGTCACAAATGAACAATGTTAATAAGTTTATTAGTTTTAGTGTCGCACTTGATCTGAACTGAATTTGAGCAAATACACAGCTACACTACTGTCAAAGAAAATTTAAAAACACAACAAATATAGTCATTTTCTAGAAAGAAGTATTAATGATAAAGTGCTTGTAGGCGAAACATAACAGGTTATTGTGTTATATATAAAATTCTGGTCAGCTTGTTTGAGGTCAGTGAGATTCTCCTGTATGAAGACATTCACAGGTTTTAATGAGAGGTTTGAACTGTTTTTATGACACTTCATCTGATGTTAGTTAGATTATGAGTTAGGAAAGTTCTAGTTGTTCCACTGTGTAAAGAGGAACTAGTAAATGTTCTCCAGTGCTAGAATGCATTAGTGCTGCTGCAGAGTGTCCAGTTGTGTGTGTGTTGGAGTTCAGAGCATTTACAGAATTCACTCACTGAGCGTTTCAGTGTTAATACAGTTTGACTATTGGATGCAGTTACTGAATAGAACTGGGAGTCACTAAATCACAGTGCAGTCTGATTACGCTGTGACTCACAATTATTACTGTACAAATGTGTCTTTGATAGTTAGGGGAGTTTAATCTCAGTGTACTGGAGCTTGGGGGTCCCACAGTGGAGCCTTATATGCCCCCCACCCTCCCTGTCTACATGGTGTGGTGCTGTGTTTGTAAAGCTGCTTTGTGACAATGTCTATTGGAAAAAGCTCAATACAGATAAAACTGAATGAACTGGAGCTGAATGTGCAGAGTGTGTGTTTAATGCTGTGTGTGTGTGTGTGTTTAATACTGTGTGTGTTTAATGCTGTGTGTGTGTGTGTGTGTGTTTAATGCTGTGTGTGTGTGTGTTTAATACTGTGTGTGTTTAATGCTGTGTGTGTGTGTGTGTGTGTGTTTAATGCTGTGTGTGTGTGTGTGTGTGTGTGTGTTTAATGCTGTGTGTGTGTGTGTGTGTGTGTTTAATGCTGTGTGTGTGTGTGTTTAATACTGTGTGTGTTTAATGCTGTGTATGTGTGTGTGTGTGTGTTTAATGCTGTGTGTGTGTGTGTGTGTGTGTGTGTTTAATGCTGTGTGTGTGTGTGTGTGTGTCTCTCCTCTCCAGCCGGTCCCTCGGTGAAGCCCTCCGTGTCTCTGCTCCCCCCCTCCTCTCTGCAGTTGTCTGAGGGATCTGCCTCGCTGCTCTGCCTGCTGTCTGGCTACTCTCCACAGGGGGCGCAGGTGAGCTGGACAGTGGACAAATCAGAGGTGAAGGAGGGGGTTCTGACCAGCATAGAAGAAGAGAAGAACGGCCGCTACAGCCGAAGCAGCACCTTGACCCTCAGCAAAGCACTCTGGGAAAAGGGGGAGGAGTTTGTCTGTACGGTCTCTCACGACAACGCGGACCAGCGAGCCTCGTTCCTAAAGAGCCACTGTGAAGGCTAGCAGCTCCAAGATAGAGCTGACCATAGAGCTGCTTTCACATGCAGCTCCAATAGAGTTTAAACTCTACACAGTGCTGATATTTCTGTCTGTACTCTGTTCAGTGTCCTGTTGCTGTAGCTGTGCTTTTGCTGAGCTGAAATAAAGCTTCATTCTGGACATTGTGAGTTCTTTACTGTAATGAATGGTGATGGTCAGTGTTGTTAGAGAGGGAGTTCAGCTGTAGATTCAGTGCAGTGCTGTGTGTTGATCTTGAGGGAGTTTGGCTGAATTAAGCTGAACATCTGGTGAAAGTGCTGCTCTATTCTGGGAGAAAGAGGACGACTCAGGCCTGTTCATGCAAATCTGAGTCTCACCCCACTGCTCTCTCTCTCTCTGTCTGACTGTTTACTGCTTAAAACTGCTGGTTTGTGTTCAGCTGGGTGGGCTGTGGGGGGGCTGGTTTCACTTCTCACTTTAGTGCTTCCACTAACTGTCATTGTACCCAAATCAACCAAGCATTTATTGGTAACAACAACCCAAATGTAGAACAAACAGACACTTCTAATTCTTTGCCCTCAGTTTTCATCCTTCTTGACATGTCATCTATCTTTGACTGTGAACCCCCAGAACTTCTTCTCATCTTCAGGATCAATCCTACAAGGTGGCCTGGAAAGGGTATGTCTGGGCTCCTGATAGCCTCACTATTGGTGTTCCCCAAGGGGCAGCTTTAGGTCCACTTTAGTTCTCTTTGTACACAAAATCACTGGGATCAGTTACTACCTTTAATTGTTATGCTCACCTGGCTCACGACGGGGCAACATCAAAGGGAGACTACATGTAAATTACACTTATGCAAAACGTTTGCAAACTGGACTGAACAAAGTGATCTGCATGAGTCGTGTAAAAGATTTCCATAGTAACATAGTTTTACTTCACTACAGTGTGAAATGCCCCCTTCCTGACACTATAAGGTTTTAGCAATAATACAGTTCTTTATTTATTTAAACTGAAATATTCTGTGATGTGTATTTCTGACTAAATCTATAACATAAGAGACACTCCTTTCTCTCATTTGGTCACTTGCTTGTTTTGGTGTCATAACACTGTCATCACCCCTGCAGAAGGTTGTGTTTCTATCCAAGTAAGTGTTTCTATCCATCTTGAATAGTCCAGCTAATATCAGTCTGGATTCATGTTTTATTCTTTCTAATTTTAGATCAATTAAGACCTTAGTCAGTCCATCACAGTTGATCTGTGCTGTTTATATGATCATATCTGAGACTAACAGTCTTAGGCCCAGTCCCGTTTCTTATGTTTAACCCTATCCCTTGTAGGCGAGTGTCACGTTGCCTTTTGGAATTTAGCTACAACAGGTAGTGGTTTAAATGTTCCTCTGAAATGGGACCCTCGAATCAAAAAGAGCATCACTTCATTAACAGCTACCAGCGCTGCTCTGTAGGCGACCCTGCCAGTCTGCAGTGACAGCAGAGGAGGGTAAAGTTCAGCTCCTCACTGCTGGGCTTTAGTTACATTTAGGGCATCATATGCCTCCAAGAGGGGGGTGGGGCAGTAATCCATTATTGCCCACCCCTAATTCTTCAGTGATATGAAGCTGAAGTCAGATATTTGCCACCTTCTTGTTCCAATTTCCTGTTCCACCTTAAATGGAGCAGCAGTTACATTCTGGCGCTTCAGGCATCAGAACTGCTGGACTATTTAAGGTTGAAGGGGTAATTTAGCTAGCTAGCGAGACTTTAGCATGCAATTAGGGTTTTTTATGCTTGTTATGAAGAAAAGGACCATAATACACTGAAACTACATTAAACTAAGTTAACCATCGTATTATCGTAATTTTTGAACAGAGGAAATCCTCTCATTTGTGGGTCTCTTTGGTCTCATGCGCAGCCCTCTCATTTTTTTCCTAATAACACTCTGTTTGGATTGTGCCTCTGAAAAACCTCTGTTTAGAGGGCCATGTAGCCCTAACACTTTCCCCTTCCCCTCTATCTCAACAAGAATCAGGACACTCTACCCCTAGATGGGAACGTGCAAAATGAAGGCCTAAGGGCAAAGCGGTAGGGGTGAGGGGTGAAATGGGATTGGGCCTTAGTCTGATACTGACCTCAATGGTGTGCATGCCATCATAGTGATAATCTCCCATGGTTTCTCTAATCATTGCTATGCTGATGAAGTCCAGCCGTACTTTTTATTTTCTCCATCCATGTTCCAAATCCCATGTAAGACATGTGACTACCTTTCCTAATTTTCTTCTTGGTTGGAGACTCATCACCTTAAACTGACCCATCGCCAACAATCCATCACACAGGGCTAAAAACAGAATGATTCTTCATGACCAGCTTATTGTCTCTGATCACATAACATCTATGATCAGATCCTGATGATTTGTACTAAGCAACATCAGAAGAATATGACACTTCCTGACTGCAGTGGCTGCTCAGCTCTTTACTGAAGCCTTAGTTATTTCCAGACCTGATTTCTGAAATTCTCTGCTTGCTGCTCTTCTCTCATGCACTTTTCTCCTCTACAGAACACTCAGAATGCTTCCACTGATCTGATCCATAACATCCCAAAATTCTCTCATGCAGCTTCTCTACTTAGATTACCTCACTGGCTCTCTGTGGTGATAAGAATGAAATACAGCACTCTGGTTCTGGAATTCCAGGCTTCACATTTCCTTTACCCCCAAATTACCTCCGCACCTGAATTCTGAACTACAAACTTAACTTAGGACCTCCAGATCCCTGCCAGGTCCTTCCCTAAGATCCAAGTGAGGCATAAGGTAAGTTCTCAGTGCTTCAGCATTCTCGTATTTCATTGGTAGAACTGTGTCTCTGCTTCTTCTGCTGTGGGCTGAAGACTTACTGCTTCACAAAATACCTTGGATAACATTTTTCTGCACTCATTCTCTTTACTAATAACTGTTTGCACCCTTCTTGAAAATGAATTTATTAACTACTTATAAAAATTACACTACATCATAATCATTTCTAATGTCTACAACCTCATTTCCAAAAAGTTGGGACAAGTGCAAAATGTAAATAAACCAAATAAAATGTAATGCAACTGCATTGATATCCAAATCATTTAAATCCTTTACTATTTTCAATCAAATATAAAGACAAAGTATGAATTTTTGAAAGTTGAATTTGATTTAAATGTTGAATTGATTGAAGTTGAATCAATATAAAATATACTCTCCTGAGTATTTTCAATCCATAATATGTTTACTTTTAGATACATACATAAGTCAGTTAATGAATCTACATTGTACTATTTTGTTTTTTGTGCTTAATTTCATTATGTGTTGCTAGTGACAACATTTATACTGTTTTGTGATTGGGAACATCTTTGACTTTGGAGTCAGACTCCATAGTATCACTTCAACAGCACACCAACTGCTACTGACCACTGTTTTCATCAGATCCAGTTAGACTCTTGGGAAGTTCTGCACTGTAGGAACACAGAACAACAGTGTGAGTCGTGTAGTGTGAAAGGAGTTGAGAGTGAAAGAGCAGCTTAAAATCAGACTCAAGTAAAAGTGTTGATACTTCAGTGAAATCATGACTGAAGTAGAAGTAAAAGAACAACTTGAGTAAAAAAGTATCAGATCTAAAATCTACTCCAGCTCTGAGTTTCTCTGTAGAACTCAGTCATAAACTTTTAGAGCGAGACCTCCAGTTCAGGACATTAATGTCAAAACTCATTCAGAAACAAATAAATAACAGGACAAGTAATCTGGTGTAGATGACAAATAAGATTATGGGATTAATTTTAATAAAATCACATCAAGTCTTGATTGTGAGATTAGCAATGCAATGTTAGCACTAAAATAATGGTGGTGAATGTGAAGATTTTATAGCAGCTCCGTCTTAAAGACAGGTTATAAGCTAATAACAGACATTCAGTTTATATATTTTTACTGTTTGTTTTACAGTAACTTCTTCAGTAAAGATCTAAACAATAGCCTGAATGTCTTCATGTGGCAACTGAACTGGTTTAACTCAAATAAATATTTGAAGGAGCAAATTAAAAGTATTTTATTTTATTATTTTATTAAAAGTATTTATCTTGGATGAATAAAAACAGTTAAACCATTTATTACCATATGTTTATGTGTAAAATTGAACAGACAAACTATTGTTTACAGTCTACTCACCTCTGAATATGATCTCCTAATAAAACTGCTGAGTCTGAGTTTGTTGAAGGATTTCTTCAGGGACTCCCTCTTTCTCAGGACTGAGAGAAACATCCATTTCATAATCTGTCCAGATCCTTATAATAAACTTTATAATAAATGAGACTCTAGCTGAACTCTACAGCTAGTTCCAGACCTGTGGAGATCAGGAAATAAATCCCTAAAATCACAAAGCATTTACAGTCTAATGAAAAGAAGAACAAATTCCATCTAAAGTCCTGATTTCCACAGAGTGTGTTATTGTGTGTGTCCATCCTCCCCCTCAGCACCTGCAGTAGAGTCCAGCTGCAGCAGTGCAGTCTCTGTGCAGCTGACTGAGGGAGCTTTTTGTACACCTACTAAACACTGTGGGAACACGTAGCCACTGTGATAACTCTGACAGTAATAATCTCCTGCATCTTCAGTCTGGACATTACTGATGGTCAGAGTGAAGTCAGAATGAGATCCACTGCCACTGAAACGAGCTGGAACACCTGACTGTCTAGTGTTAGCAGTGTAGATCAGGAGTTTAGGAGCTTCTCCAGGTTTCTGCTGATACCAGGCTAAAGGTTGATTACTCCATCCTTGGTACACCTCAGGGTTGGTTCTACAGCTGATGGTAACTGAGTCTCCTGGAGAAACAGTTTTCACTGCAGGGGTCTGAGTCACAGTCACCTGACCACTGGATTCTGAGAAAAATACAATAAAATATACGTAATTTTAAAATATAGAATAATATAAAATTAAATGTATAGAACATAAAATAAAAACATACCTATAAAAGTACTTAAATTAAAGAAGTTGATTTACTTAGAGTTAAATGAGTGAGTTACCTTGAGTCCAGAGGGTCAGTGTCCAGATGAAGATGGAGACCAAAGTCATGGTTGCTGTGGGTGAAGTTTGTGGGGCAGCAGCTCTCAGTCATGAAGTGTTAAACTCACAGGACTATAAACACTAGCAGAGCACTGAAGCATGGGCTGATAATGCAAAGTGGAGCCTCTATGGAAATCATCTTTCTATCAACACTGAGTAAAGATGATCATATTTATCTGATATTGTTTGATCAGACATTTCTGCTCAGTGTGGAATCTGATGTTTAAAGTGCAGCTTTTTATAGAGATGTGGGAAAATGAAATCTCTTCTGATTCCCACCAGAGTTTTCTGAAAGAAGACAGAATGATTTGAGCGTTATATTACATTTCACTCCCCCAGATGATCCTTAAGGCATTAAGTGGAGAGGAAAAATAAGGGGGTCACAGAGGTTTGTGGAGGTCAGTAGTGGAGACTATTGCTGGGAGCTACTTCAGCTCAGCCAGGCTTGTCTAATTCTAGAGAGATTAGAAGTGAAATATTCCCTTTAATGTCCAGCAGAGGGCGATCTCTTATTGTGCAGTTCTAACTGTCTCTGCCTTTCATTTGAGGGTTTCTGCAGCTACGACTGCCACCCAGTCTGTCTGTATCAGGACTGGAGGACTTTTTGGTGGAGGAAACACAATGAAAACAGTAAGAAACTTTTAATATAATACTTGAAGAAGAACTTTTATTTTTAACATTGTTATAGTTTTTAAAGTATATTTAGCCTTTAGAAGGTTAACTTTGTCTGTTGTGGAAATTCTAAAGAACCAATCGTGTCCTCAGTTTAGATGTTTTACCGCTTATAAAATAATCCTTGTTGGGAATAAAAGGCAGAACATGTGTAGATCTACAGTGTGTAGTTTATTCCATTATTAGATGATTGTAGAATCCATTAATATTGTATTATAGGTCAGAAATAGTGCGTGTAGAGGCTGAAGAGAGCGGCGTGTTTAGAGCAGGAGGTTTTTGTACAGCCAGTAAACGAGTTTGTATCACTCTGGTTGACTTTTGGTGGAGGAACCAAACTGTCAGTTGGACGTAAGTACACTTTTACTCCTTATTCAAAAGGAATCTTTTATTAAAATGATTATGGATCAACAGTCCAGACGTACTTGATGTTCTTCTAAATCAGTTCTGATCCAAATTTGAATGTATTTCATTAGAACTTGGCTGAAGTGTGGCGAGCGTGGAGCTTTAGGCTTTACCACGAGCTCCTGTTTCTGAACTGGATTTCTTTTCTTTAAAATACTAATATTTCCTAAAGGTTTCCTGTGAAGTGTTCAGTAATGACGTTTCTTTAAAAAGATCAAATGTAGAGCTGGATTGTAGTGTCAGTGTTGGGCTCCATTAGAGCAATTCTGTCTCCATCTGGAAGCCACAATGTGGAGGTTATTCTGAGCAGCGTTTTCTGTTCTAAAGCTTTGAAGCCATAGTACATGGAGACTGCAGCTCCATTTATTTATTGATTATTTATTGTTTTGGAGCAAATAAAATCATGTTCCATTTCAAATTTCACATCACAGGATGTGCAGAATGTCAGAGTTTTACTGAGTGAAATTCAGTAATATTTTCTAATAAAAATGTAAATGAAGTGCAGCTATGAATGTGACTGTAAATATGAGTTTGTGTGTGAAACGGTTGAGTTTAAGGTTGTAATTAGAGTTTGGTTTTTAATGCATCACTGAACTCAGTTGTGCTCTGTTAGAAATAAGGGAAATGAAACTGTGTGTGTCCTAGGTGTGGCCCGGCCCACCCTCACGGTCCTGCCCCCCTCCAGCGTGGAGTTGCAGCAGGGGAAGGCCACACTGGTGTGTTTGGCCAATAAGGGCTTCCCCTCAGACTGGACGCTGAGCTGGAAGGTGGACGGGAGCAGCTGGAGCGCGGGGGTTAGCCAGAGCCCCGGGCTTCTGCAGAAGGACGACGGCCTCTACAGCTGGAGCAGCACCCTGACCCTCCAGGGGGACCAGTGGCTAAAGAAGACAGTGACCTGTGAGGCCACCAAGGACTCCCAGCCTACTGTCAGCAAATCACTGAGCAGAGAGCAATGCACTGGGCAGTGAGCGTCCACGCGTGTGTTGGAGCTGCTAGAGCTCCTCTTGATCTTCAGTGAGCTCAAACATGGCTCTGCTTAATGCTCTGATCTTCATCTCATCACTTCATCAGCACAATAAAGAGTTTCAGTATTAATATCTACAGTCTTTCATTGATTATTGTGTTATTTTCTTTTTCCTGATCTGAAACAGCAACAATAAACATGTAAACAGTTCTTTGATCTGTAATTCACTGGAAATAAGTCCATGTTCATTTCTTTTGTAAAAATAAAGCATTTTAACAATAATAATCGCAGTGTTTCATTTTTTATTTTCATAATTTTTGAAGATTTATTGCAATAAAATACTTGAAGAGACAATTTTTTTTTCCTGTCATCATATCAAATACATTTACAGTCCTTTAACTTTCTCTTATCAGAAAATTAATGAATAAATGAATTATGAAACATATAAACAAAAAACACAATATATAAATAAATAGCACCACGTCCAGTTTTTTAAACATAAATTATACATTTTAAAGGAAACATTAAGTCATTTTTCAGATTTGTATAAATGTAAAGTGTCTTAATGGAGAACTGTAAAGAAGTAACTGGCAATTTTCATAAACTTAAAGCACCCCGAAACATTAGAGTCACATTTTTATACATATTTAAACGTGACTGGGGCATAACAGCGAATATTTGTGATGACAGGCAAAAATACAATATCATCACCAGCACACCTCCTTAAAACGCTCCAAGCTCCTCACCTCAATTTAAAGGAAAGTTCATGTTATTATTTATAGAAATCTGTTCTACTTTCATTACTGTGTTATTAATAGAGCATGTACTGATCTATATTTTCTTTAATGTTTATTTAAACTCTTGTGATTCAGCGTTTCTAACAGTGTTTCTAACAGAATTTGGTTGAATTTAAAGCCAAACCAACAGCTGATGGATCTCACCTCATTTTTTACTCCTGAAGAGATGTGAACGATTGCTAAGCAGTGATTGGAGGGCTGAGGCAAGTGGGTTGTGTCTCGAGATCATGTGACCGGTTTAGTGTCGACAGTCTAGTCGCGCCCCTTCACTGTAGTAAAGCTCACAGCTTGTGTCACATACTGGACACTGTACAGTATGATACTACAAAGAGTAACATGCAGTATACAGTATATACTGGTCCAGTATGCAGCATACAGTATAAACTGGTGCAGCATGCAGTATATACTGGTGCAGCATGCAGTATATACTGGTCCAGTAGGCTTTATTCAATATATACTGGTCCAGTATGCAGCATGCAGTATATACTGGTCCAGTAGGTGGTATACAGTATATACTGGTCCAGTATGCAGCATACAGTATATACTGGTGCAGCATGCAGTATATACTGGTGCAGCATGCAGTATATACTGGTCCAGTAGGCTTTATTCAATATATACTGGTCCAGTATGCAGCATGCAGTATATACTGGTCCAGTAGGTGGTATACAGTATATACTGGTCCAGTATGCAGCATACAGTATATACTGGTGCAGCATGCAGTATATACTGGTGCAGCATGCAGTATATACTGGTCCAGTAGGCTTTATTCAATAAATACTGGTCCAGTATGCAGCATGCAGTATATACTGGTCCAGTAGATGGTATACAATATATACTGGTCCAGTATGCAGCATGCAGTATATACTGGTCCAGTATGCAGTATACAGTATATACTGGTCCAGTAGGTGGTATACAGTATATACTGGTCCAGTATGCAGTATACAGTATATACTGGTCCAGTAGGTGGTATACAGTGTACTATTTTGACTATTCACTTAATTATTGTAAATAGTTGTTATTGTGGCTTTAATGGTAAAAAAGTGTCTTCTTGTATCCTGATGCTCATGGAATCATAAGGAAGGATTAAACTTGGCTGTTTATAACTTCTTTCTACAGTGGCGTCTTATATCTGTGTTTATTATTGCTGTGTTATTGTCCAACGATTGTCAGATTTGTGTGGGTTTCTCATCAAATGTCACAGATGGTCTTTTCTCTGCTGCACTTCAAAATAAGAGTTCTAGCAGCATTAATAAGAGTATCTGTTTATCTGTAAAACAGAATGATTTAGTGATGTACAACCCCAATTCCAAAATGTTGGGATGCTGTGTAAAATGTAAATAAATGTAAATAAAAAACAGAACGCAATGATTATCAAATCTCATAGACCCATATTTTATTCACAACAGAACATAGAACACGTCAGACGTAGAAAGTGAGACATTTTACCATTTCATGAAAAACATTAAGTCATTTAGAGCTTGGTGGCAGCAACACAAAATAGTTCTCAAAAAAGTTGGGACGGGGCAACAAAAGGCTGGAAAAGTAAGTACTACTAATACAAAACAGCTGGAGGAGCAATTTGCAACTAACTCACATCACTGGGTATAAAAAGAGCATTTTATAGAGGCAGAGTGTCTCAGAATATTCAATAATGCATACTCAATATTGGATGCTCATGATCTTTGGGCCCTCAGGTGGCACTGCATTAAAAACAGGCGTGATTCTGTACTGGAAATCACTGCATGGGCTCAGGAACAGAAATCATTGTCTATGAACACAGTTTGCTGTACAATCCACAAATGCAAGGTAAAGCTGTATCATGCAAAGAAGAAGCCATATGTCGACATGATCCAGAAACACCTCCGTCTTCTCTGGGCCAAAGCTCATTTAAAATGGACTGAGGCAAAATGGAAAACTATTCTGTGGTCAAATGAATCAAAATTTGAAATTCTTTTTGGAAACCACGGACGCCGTGTCCTGCAGACTCAAGAGAAGACGGACCATCCAGCTTGTTGTCAGCTCACAGTTCAAAAGCCTGCATCTCTGATGGTATTGGGTTGGAGTATTGCCCATGGCGTGGGCAGCTTACACATCTGGACAGGCACTATCAATGCTGAACAGTATATAGAGATTTTAGAACCACACATGCTCCCACCAAGACAGCGTCTCTTTCAGGGAAGGCCTTGTATATTTCAGCAAGACGATGCTAAACCACATACTGCATCCATCACAACAGCATGGCTTTGCAGAAAAAGACAGTGCAGCGCCGACACAGCACTCATTTCTAAACATGAGGTAGTGAAAATAAGGTGCAAAGATTATTTAACATGCTGTGATCTGTGAGTAAACGCAGTCAGGTTATAACATATGTGAGCACAGCAGGTAGGATATACACAGTACTTGAGTAAACAAAGTGTAAACACTGTATTAACAGCAATATTCCATGTAGTGCAAATAGAGCATCAAAAATGGAGTGTGTGTGTGTGTGTGTGTGTGTGTGTGTGTGTGTGTGTGTGTGTAGAGTATGTGTGTGAGGGGGGTTCAGTTCAGTCCTTGTGAGTTTAAAAACCTGATCACTTGAGGAACAAAGCTGTTGCAGAGTCTGGCAGTGATGGCACGGATACTCTGGTACCTTCTGCCAGCAGTGAAAAAAGTCCGTGTGAGGGGTGGATGGGGTCGTCCACTGCTGGTGGCTTTGCAGATGCAGCTAGAATCCTACATCAGACAAGAACGTGACAACATTCCTCTCCCAGAACTCCAGCAACTGGTCTCCTCACTTCCCAGACGTTTACAGACTGTTGTTAAAGAAGAGGGGATGCTACACAGTGGTAGACGCGGCCCTGTCCCAACTTTTCTGAGATGTGTTGCTGCCATCAAGTTCTAAATGCGTTAATGTTTTTCATGAAATGGTAAAATGTCTCACTTTCAACATCTGATATTATTCTATGTTCTATTGTGAATAAATATGGGTCTATGAGATTTGCAAATCATTGCATTCTGTTTTAATTTACATTTATTTACATTTTACACAGCGTCCCACCTTTTTGGATTTGGGGTTGTATATGATTTAATACTATGTGGAACTAATTAATAAAAGAATTGTACTACTGACAGCTCATCTGTTTATTATCATTTTATTATCATTAGTCATTGTGCAGCCTGCTGACCCTCCTGACTTCTTCAGTCATTGTCCAATATTTATGTAACATATATGACGTACATGACAGATTCCAATAACTGTATATAATAGCAGACAGTACAAAACAGCAATATTTTAAGCTCTGATGATTTTTGTAAACTGATTTTGGTTAACTATTGATAATCATAATATAGAAATTCATCTTTCATTCTTTTGATGTGTTTTGATGTGTTGTAATTCTCTGCTGCTTAGCCTTTGATGCTCATGTGACTGTGTTTTTACAGCACCACTGTTTTAATCAGTTTAATCATAATAATATCCTACTGAACTTACATCATTTTAAAGAGTCTTGGCAAACAGATTGATGTTCTGGTAACTGGTTGCTTCTCTGAGCCCATCTTCTGGAACAGGAGTCTATATTTCTAACCTCAGGACTACAGACAGTACCTGAAATGATCAAATGGAAGAAACTATGATGATGTTGACAATGTTTCATAAAGAATCAAGAATTTGAGTGCTCTCATGTCTGATGAGGTGTAATAAGTTTTACCTGCTGGTTTAGTCAGGACTTTAGGGTTTAAACTCAGTTTAACTAGTCATCCAGAAAGAGAGAAAGAAAATAAAGTGCCTTCTTACTGTCTAAGCTGCTTTTGTTTCCTTTTTTAACTGTTCTGTGTCCTGAAGCTTCTTTTCTTTGTGTTTATCTGCTGCTACTAGTGAGATGTTCCATCTAGTGCTGAAGAACCCTGTTCCACAGTGAGGAGAACTCCCAAAGAGAGAACAGTGCTCACGACAGTGGTAGTGTAGTGTAGTGGGTAACATCTCTGCCTTCTACACTGTAGACTGGGGTTCAAACCCCACCTTGGTAAACACCCTACACTATACCAAAAAGAGTCCTTGGGCAAGACTCCTAACACTGCCTTCGCCTACCTGTGTAAAATGATCCAACTGTAAGTCGCTCTGGATAAGAGCGTCTGCCAAATGCTGTAAATGTCCTGTAGTGTTTTGAGTTGATGAGTTCAGTTGAGTGCAGCTTTAGCAGCTGTTCTGAGATCAGTGAGGGTTTCTGAGTCAGAGCAGTTCCTCTACAGCTGAGGGAGGTTTTTGTATCACACTCTAACACTGTGAACCCACTGCTATACTGCTGACAGTAATAATCTCCTGTATCTTCAGGCTGAACTCCACTGATCTTTAGAGTAAAATCTGTTCCAGATCCACTCCCACTGAAACGATCTGGAACACCAGACTGACGGCTATTAGAAGAATAGATCAGGAGTTTAGGAGCTTCTCCGGGTTTCTGCAGATACCAGGCAAGCCAGCTGCTGATACTCTGACTGGCTCTGCAGCTGATAGTAACAGAGTCTCCTGGTGAAACAGTCTGAGATCCTGGAGTCTGAGTCAGGATGACGTCCCCAAAGGACTCTAAAGAAAAAGAGAGAAACATTTCAAAATATCAGAACATCTTTGTTTTAGTTGTAAACGGAAATCTAATATCAGTAATAAAGGGGGTTAATGCGACTCCTCAGAACTGAAATTTAACCCCTGACATTTACCTTGAGTCCAGAGGGTGAGTGTCCAGAGGAAGATGGGGACCAAAGTCATGGTTGCTGTGGGTGAAGTTTGTGGGGCAGCAGCTCTCAGTCATGAAGTGTTAAACTCACAGGACTATAAACACTAGCAGAGCACTGAAGCATGGGCTGATAATGCAAAGTGGAGCCTCTATGGAAATGGACTCACCAAACACCTCTATAATAAACACATATGATTATTTAGATATGATTATAAAGTATTAGCTCAGTTCTGTTAATTCAGTGTCAGACGTTCATTTCTAAAGGTCATAAATAGTTGATGAGTGTAGAAGAGTTCAGGGTAAACAGTGATGAGTGATGGAGGTTTATGTACAATGACTTCACTGAAATGTATCACTGTGGTTCACTTTCAGTGGAGGAACCAAACTCACTGTGAAAAGAGACTTTTATTCTATTTAAACAGGAGATTCATTTAATCACCTCATTATCAGTTACAGATCATGATGATCAGCTTGTCTGAGGTCAGTGAGATTCTCCTGTATGAAGACATTCACAGGTTTTAATGAGAGGTTTGAACTGTTTTTATGACACTTCATCTGATGTTAGTTAGATTATGAGTTAGGAAAGTTCTAGTTGTTCCACTGTGTAAAGAGGAACCAGTAAATGTTCTCCAGTGCTAGAATGCATTAGTGCTGCTGCAGAGTGTCCAGTTCTTTTGAGTTTAGTCTGAGTTCTTTACTGTAATGAATGGTGATGGTCAGTGTTGTTAGAGAGGGAGTTCAGCTGTAGATTCAGTGCAGTGCTGTGTGTTGATCTTGAGGGAGTTTGGCTGAATTAAGCTGAACATCTGGTGAAAGTGCTGCTCTATTCTGGGAGAAAGAGGACGACTCAGGCCTGTTCATGCAAATCTGAGTTTCACCCCACTGCTCTCTCTCTCTCTGTCTGACTGTTTACTGCTTAGAACTGCTTGTTTGTGTTCAGCTGGGTGGGCTGTGGGGGGCTGGTTTCACTTCTTACTTTAGTGCTGCTGATCACCATCAGTGTGTCAGTCAAATAATAATATGTTTTATTAATACAGCACCTTTATTAACTCAAAGCAGGTAACAGTGAAACAGAACGAGTGCAGAAACAAACAGAAAGAGCTCTAACATACAGTAGAAAAGCATCAGTTCCATCTGAATGAAAGTGTAAAGGGAGGTAAAGCACTGAGTAAACAGGTGGGTTTTGAGTTGTGTGTTAAAGACAGAGATAGAGGTGAGTTCCAGAGTTTTGGAGCTGTTCCACTAAATTCTCTACCACTGACTGAGGACAGTCTGATTCACTCTAATCAGACCAGTTCCAGAAGACCTGAGTGTCCGAGCTGGCGTGTAGAGATGAAGGAGTTCAGTAATGTATGAAGGTCATGTATGTCTATGAAAGTCATGAGCAGCAGCCTGTACTGACCACACAAAGGGACAGATAAGCAGTGCAGTTTATGGAGAGCAGGTGTGATGAGGGCAGAGTGCTTAGTGTGAGTGAGGACTCCAGCTGCTGAGTTCTGAACAGACTGTTATTTAGGGAGGAGTTTAACTGGGAGTCCACTAAGAAGGTCATTACAGTGATGAAGGTGGGAACTGATAAAGACACTAATCTACATTTCTGCATCACTGCTGATAATCAGGGGGCGGAGTCTGGAAATATAATGAAGGTGGTAGAAGACAGTCTTGAGGGGCAGAGAAGTGGGTGACTGATCTATGTATAATTGGTGTAATGAAAACTGATGAATTATATGACAAAGACAGATTATATAGTTTACAAAGAGAAAGGGGCCCAGAGCAGAACCCTGTGGAACACCTGGAGCAAGAAGAGCCGTGGGGGATTCATTGTATAGTGATGAGCAAAGGTGGATTGAATTAGGTACATTTACTGAGTACATGTACTAAAATAAAATATTGATGGATTTGTACTGTGCTGAGTATTTTTAGATCATCATAGGTTTGTCTCCTCAGTGATGTTAGTAAAGAAATCTAATTTTTTGCTGAGTTACATTTGGCCATTATATTGACTTACTAATTCCTTTTTGTGTTTAATTTCATTATATTTTGTTGGTGACATCTGTACTGCTTTGTGATTGGTCACATCTCTGACTTTGGGGTCAGCCTCCATGGTGGATCACTCTGTCCAACAGCACACCAACTGATACTGACCACTGTTTCCATCAGATCCAGTTAGACTCTTGGGAAGTTCTGCACTGTAGGAACACAGAACAACAGTGTGAGTCGTGTAGTGTGAAAGGAGTTGAGAGTGAAAGAGCAGCTTAAAATCAGACTCAAGTAAAAGTGTTGATACTTCAGTGAAATCATGACTGAAGAAGAAGTAAAAACAGTTTAATAAAAATCAACATGATTAGGAGTAAAAAAAGTATCAGATCAATAATCTACTCAAGCCCTGAGTTTTCTGTAGGACTCAGTAACACAAACTGTACTTTTATACTTCACCTCAAAAACAAATATGCAGAACTGATATAAGCTGTTCTTAAAAGACAAAGTAGGTTGCTGTGAACAGGGCCTGTTTAAGGGCCAACAAGGACTAAACCTTATAAGTTCTATTACTCTGGAATGATGACTTATAAAAGTCTTTCAAACAGAACAAATGTGTCACTTTAGTTTTATCAACATATCATTTACTTCATAAAACATCTTATGTCATACTGTGATTACTGACATAAGCTGTTAATAAATATTAAAGCACTGCTTTATGATTACAGTAAATGCTTATGCCAATGTCATTATAAGTCTTTATGTATGTAGCCTTCAAATAAAATGTTGTGAAACAAATTAATAGAAACAAACTTGTGTAAAAAATTAGATCAATAATCTACTTGAGCTCTTAGTTTCTCATTTTAACTCAGGGCTTATTATCAACACTCACAAAGACAACAAAACAACAGGACAGTTGATCTGCTGTACATGCAACACATGGAGAGTTCAGTGTTAATTCTGAACATTTCAAAGTGCATTGAGAATGTAACTGTTCTCAAGACCATCACGGTTCGGGCCAATCAGAAGCCATGGCTGACAAGGGAGGTCTACAGGCTACTGAAAGCTAGGAATGCTGCTTTTATCAGCAGGAGACGAGGTGGGCCTGAGGGCAGCTAGGACCAACCTGTCCCACGGCATCAGAAAGGCAAAGAGGCAGTACTCCAGGAGGATAGCCCATCGCCTCAGCGACAGCAGAGATACACGGAGCCTGTGGCGGGGGATACAGACCATCACAGACTACAAGCCCCCACTGCAGACCTGTGACAGCTCCACCTTTCTGCTGAATGAGCTTAACAACTTCTTCGCCCGGTTTGAGACAGACAACGACATGCCTGCACAGAAAATCTCCCCCCCTCCTGGAGACCAGGCGCTGACGCTGTGCCCAGTCAGTGTGAGGAGATCATTCAGCAGGATCAACGTTCGGAAAGCTCCTGGTCCTGACAACATACCCGGTCGTGTGCTGAGGGACTGTGCTGTGGAGCTCACAGATGTCTTTACAGATATCTTTAACATCTCGCTGAGTCAGGCTGTTGTCCCCACATGCCTGAAAGCCACCACCATCATCCCTGTCCCGAAGAAAGCGTCACCCTCCTGTTTCAATGACTACCGTCCAGTAGCACTCACTCCCATCCTCATGAAGTGCTTCGAACGGCTGGTCATGCAACACATCAAGTCTGTCCTTCTCCCTCCCTGGACCCCTTCCAGTTTCCATATCGGCCTAATCGCTTTGTTGATGATGCCATCTCCACCGCCCTCCATTCATCCCTCACACATTTGGACAAAAAAGACTTTTATGTCAGAATGCTATTCATAGATCTCAGCTCCACTTTTAACACCATCATCCCCCAGCAGCTCATTCTCAAACTGGACAGGCTGGGGCTGAACACTGCGCAACTGACTGTTAGACTTCCTGACTGGGAGACCACAGGCAGTACGGGCCGGCAACAACACATCCCGCACCATCACACTGAACACGGGGGCCCCCCAAGGATGTGTACTGAGCCCCCTCCTATTCACTCTGATGTCCCACGACTGCACACCGTCGCACAGCTCCAACCTCTTCATCAAGTTCGCGGACGACACAACTGTGGTGGGTCTCATCAGCAACAACGATGAGACAAACTACAGGAGCGAGGTGAGCCGCCTGGCCTTGTGGTGTAGACACAACAATCTCCATCTGAACATTGAGAAGATCGTTATGGACTTCAGGAGAACGTGCAACCAGCATGCTCCTCTGACCATCAACCGTGCTGCTGTGGAGAGGGTGAACAGCACCAGGTTCCTGGGCGTACACATCACAGAGGACCTCTCCTGGGCCAACAACACAGCATCACTGGCCAGAAGGGCTCATCAGCACCTCTACTTCCTCGGCAAACTGAGAAGAGCCAGAGCCCCAGCCTCCATCATGTGCACCTTCTACAGACGTACCATCGAGAGCATCATGACCAGCTGCATCACCGTGTGGTATGGCGCCTGCACCGTGTCCTGCCGCAAGACACTCCAGTGCATCGTGAGAGCAGCCGAGAAGATCGTTGGCACCTCCCTCCCCTCCCTCCAAGAGATATACAGCTCCCGTCTCACCCGAAAAGCCCTCTGCATGGCAGGTGATCCCCTCACCCACTACACAGCTTCTTCAGCCTGTTGCCATCAGGGAGGAGACTGCGGAGTCTCCGGGCCAGGACCAGCAGACTGGGGGACAGCTTTATCCACCAGGCTGTCAGGATGCTGAACTCTCTCCCTACTTTGCCCCCCCTCCCCCCTTCTGCCCCCCCCTCCCCCCACAGAGTTTGGGACCCAAACACAGGTTCCTGACCCCCACTCCCCAATACTGAACTCTGACCTTCTCAGGGACTGTTACACACTCATCACTTTAACTGCTCCATAAGCTCATTCTAATTGCACTACTGTTTATATTTGCACTATTTATACCCACAGACCTTAATCTGTATGTGCTTTATGTCACTTTAATGTTAATTTCAAAATCTTCTATATTTATATATTTTTTATTATTGTATTTTTCTACAATTAGCATTTATTTTTACAATTAGTGTTTTTTTTTTTAATTGTTTATTTAAATTCACACTTTTCCTGTTTACTTTCTATTTAATGTTATTGCCACACCATGGGGTCTGAGAGTAACGCAATTTCAATACTCTGTATGTCCTGTACATATTGTAGTATTGACAATAAAAGCTGACTTGACTTGCACTGCTGGGTGCTTGGGCATTGGATTACTTGCAAGTTATGTTTTTTGAGTCTCTTCAGCCAGCTAGTGAGGTGCCTTTTGGGTTCCTTCATATGCATGAGCCTGTGCAAAATACTGTGCTCTATTCACCCAGTAAAGGTTCTGTCCAGAAGGTACTGGTGGAAATGGGAGATAAATTCCACAATGGTCAGTGGAATCCACCTTGTGATGCTACAATTTGCCTCTGTTTGGGAGAGCCAACTGCTCCCACAGGCCAGGACACTATCTTCATTGATCTGCATTTGCAATAGCACAGCCCCAATTCCAAAGTTACGTGAGCACATGAATACTGAAACAAGCATATACATTAAGAAGAGAAGGTGGGCCAGAACAGAACCCTGGGGAACACCTTGAACAACATACAGATTAGGGTCTGTGGGTATAAATAGTGCAAATATAAACAGTAGTGCAATTAGAATGAGCTTATGGAGCAGTTAAAGTGATCGGTGCGTAACAGATTTAATTACATAAAAGCATCATGGGCACTAATTAGTTACATTTACTCAATTACATGTACTAAAGTAAAATAATGATGGATTTGTACTTTCCTGAGTATTTTCAAATCATAATGCATTTACTTTTACGGAAGTATATTAATGAGTAAACCATTTTTTACAAAGTTATATTTTTGCCATTTATATTTACTTACTAATTTCTTTGTGTTTAATTTGAGAATGTTTTATTGTTAAAAACATCAGTGGTATTTTATTTTGAGTGGTCATTTTAGATGAAATAAACAAACAACAGACTCTCACTAAAATATCAACAACATATCAATGATGGAGGAGCACTGAATACATTGATTAGATTATCAAGAATTTTTTGATTAACTGTGTAAATAAAATTGGTTTATAATCTGCTGAATTCAGTTGTTTTTCACTTTATTTGGTGAAGAGTTCATATGTGTTGGTGTTTAATCTGAGAGGAACTAAACATGTAACAGACTTAATAGACACCATCTCAATATCCTCAACAAGCTGGTACAGACACACTGACACCATCCTGTACCTGGAGCTTCACTGGATTAGGCTTTAATTAAGGTTTATTTTAAGATTAGGGCCAGGGTGAGGGTTAGGATTAGGTTTTGACCTGAGGTTAGGGTTAGGGTAAGGATTAGGGCCAGGGTGAGTGTTAGGGTTTTGGGTAAAGCTGGGTAAGGTTAGGTTTTGCTTAATGTTACTACCATGTAAAGACTACATCAAGTAACATAACAATACACAGACTTAATATTAAGTAATGTATCAACACTGCATCTACAAGTTATTTACTTGAATGTATTCAGATGCTTTAGTACTGCTACTTCACTGATATGTTATTGATATGTTACTGATACTATGTTAAGAGGTTATTAATCATCAATAAAGACCACATGAAATAAAGTGTTACCGCAGCATCTGTACTGCTTTGTGATTGGTCACATCTCTGATTTTGGAGTCAGACCCCAAGGTGGATCCAGTTAGACTCTTGGGAAGTTCTGCACTGTAGGAACACAGAACAACAGTGTGAGTCGTGTAGTGTGAAAGGAGTTGAGAGTGAAAGAGCATCTTAAAATCAGACTCAAGTAAAAGTGTTGTTAGTAAAAGTAAAAGTACAACATTGGACTATTATTAATAACTTTTTTCTATTTATTTATTTATTTATTTGCATCCTATTAATGTGAAAGGTCAGAAAAAAATACATGATAGGAATAATTTGCTGTACATGTCAAATTTTACCTGAATGGGATTAAGCTGAATCAAATCACATGAGTAGTGTAGACTGTGAGATTAGCGCCTCTAAGCAGTTTGTAATGTAATGTTAGCACTAAGCTAATGGTGGAGCACATGAAGATTTTATAGCAGCTCTGACTTAAACACAGATATTCAAAGCTTATAACAGACATTCTGTTTACATATTTTCACTCTGTTGCGGTTTTACAGTGACTTAAGTAAAGATCTGAACTTAATGTATGTCTCGGAATATTATTGGAGGAGACTGAATGTCTTCATGTGGAAATAAACAACTGAAATGATATTATTCAAATAAATACTTTTAAGATATTATTTTAATTACATAAAGCAGTTAAGTATTTTTTTAGGTTAAATACATACGCTGTTTTTTACAGTCTACTCACCTCTGAATATCACCTCCTAATAAAAACTGATGAGTCTGAGTTTGTTGAAGGATTTCTTCAGGGACTCCCTCTTTCTCAGGACTGAGAGAAACATCCATTTCATAATCTGTCCAGATCCTTATAATAAACTTTATAATAAATGAGACTCTAGCTGAACTCTACAGCTAGTTCCAGACCTGTGGAGATCAGGAAATAAATCCCTAAAATCACAAAGCATTTACAGTCTAATGAAAAGAAGAACAAATTCCATCTAAAGTCCTGATTTCCACAGAGTGTGTTATTGTGTGTCCATCCTCCCCCTCAGCACCTGCAGTAGAGTCCAGCTGCAGCAGTGCAGTCTCTGTGCAGCTGACTGAGGGGGCTTTTTGTACACCTACTAAACACTGTGGGAACACGTAGCTACCACTGATATAATGGCGACTCTGACAGTAATAATCTTCTGCATCTTCAGTCTGGACATTACTGATGGTCAGAGTGAAGTCAGATCCAGATCCACTGCCAGTGAAACGAGCTGGAACACCTGACTGTCTATTGTTGATATAGGAGATCAGGAGTTTAGGAGCTTCTCCAGGTTTCTGCTGATACCAGAATAAACAGCCAGATGAACAGGAATCATATACATCACGGCTGGTTCTACAGCTGAAGGTGACTGAATCTCCCAGAGAAACAGTTTTTAATGCAGGACTCTGAGTCACAGTCACCTGACCACTGGATCCTATAAAAAATAAATAAAATGAAATAAAAAAAAAACATTTAAATATATTTTAAAATACAAGACTAATAGAAACATAAAAGAAAACGTACATACAACAGTACAGAAAATAATTTATACAAAGGTAAACGAGTGAGTTACCTTGAGTCCAGAGGGTCAGTGTCCAGATGAAGATGGAGACCAAAGTCATGGTTGCTGTGGGTGAAGTTTGTGGGGCAGCAGCTCTCAGTCATGAAGTGTTAAACTCACAGGACTATAAACACTAGCAGAGCACTGAAGCATGGGCTGATAATGCAAAGTGGAGCCTCTATGGAAATGGACTCACCAAACACCTCTATAATAAACACATATGATTATTTAGATATGATTATAAAGTATTAGCTCAGTTCTGTTAATTCAGTGTCAGACGTTCATTTCTAAAGGTCATAAATAGTTGATGAGTGTAGAAGAGTTCAGGGTAAACAGTGATGAGTGATGGAGGTTTATGTACAATGACTTCACTGAAATGTATCACTGTGGTTCACTTTCAGTGGAGGAACCAAACTCACTGTGAAAAGAGACTTTTATTCTATTTAAACAGGAGATTCATTTAATCACCTCATTATCAGTTACAGATCATGATGATCAGCTTGTCTGAGGTCAGTGAGATTCTCCTGTATGAAGACATTCACAGGTTTTAATGAGAGGTTTGAACTGTTTTTATGACACTTCATCTGATGTTAGTTAGATTATGAGTTAGGAAAGTTCTAGTTGTTCCACTGTGTAAAGAGGAACTAGTAAATGTTCTCCAGTGCTAGAATGCATTAGTGCTGCTGCAGAGTTTCCAGTTCTTTTGAGTTTAGTCTGAGTTCTTTACTGTAATGAATGGTGATGGTCAGTGTTGTTAGAGAGGGAGTTCAGCTGTAGATTCAGTGCAGTGCTGTGTGTTGATCTTGAGGGAGTTTGGCTGAATTAAGCTGAACATCTGGTGAAAGTGCTGCTCTATTCTGGGAGAAAGAGGACGACTCAGGCCTGTTCATGCAAATCTGAGTTTCACCCCACTGCTCTCTCTCTCTCTGTCTGACTGATTACTGCTTAAAACTGCTTGTTTGTGTTCAGCTGGGTGGGCTGTGGGGGGCTGGTTTCACTTCTTACTTTAGTGCTGCTGATCACCATCAGTGCGTCAGTCAAATAATAATATGTTTTATTAATACAGCACCTTTATTAACTCAAAGCAGGTAACAGTGAAACAGAACGAGTGCAGAAACAAACAGAAAGAGCTCTAACATACAGTAGAAAAGCATCAGTTCCATCTGAATGAAAGTGTAAAGGGAGGTAAAGCACTGAGTAAACAGGTGGGTTTTGAGTTGTGTGTTAAAGACAGAGATAGAGGTGAGTTCCAGAGTTTTGGAGCTGTTCCACTAAATTCTCTACCACTGACTGAGGACAGTCTGATTCACTCTAATCAGACCAGTTCCAGAAGACCTGAGTGTCCGAGCTGGCGTGTAGAGATGAAGGAGTTCAGTAATGTATGAAGGTCAAGGCCATGTATGTCTGTGAAAGTCATGAGCAGCAGCCTGTACTGACCACACAAAGGGACAGATAAGCAGTGCAGTTTATGGAGAGCAGGTGTGATGAGGGCAGAGTGCTTAGTGTGAGTGAGGACTCCAGCTGCTGAGTTCTGAACAGACTGTTATTTAGGGAGGAGTTTAACTGGGAGTCCACTAAGAAGGTCATTACAGTGATGAAGGTGGGAACTGATAAAGACACTAATCTACATTTCTGAATCACTGCTGATAATCAGGGGGCGGAGTCTGGAAATATAATGAAGGTGGTAGAAGACAGTCTTGAGGGGCAGAGAAGTGGGTGACTCATCTATGTAGCATTGGTGCAGTGAAAACTGATGAATTATATGACAAAGACAGATTATATAGTTTACAAAGAGAAAGGGGCCCAGAGCAGAACGCTGTGGAACACCTGGAGCAAGAAGAGCCGTGGGGGATTCATTGTATAGTGATGAGCAAAGGTGGATTGAATTAGGTACATTTACTGAGTACATGTACTAAAATAAAATATTGATGGATTTGTACTGTGCTGAGTATTTTCAGATCATCATAGGTTTGTCTCCTCAGTGATGTTAGTAAAGAAATCTATTTTTTTCTGAGTAACATTTGGCCATTATATTGACTAATTCCTTTATAATTTTAATTTCATTATGTTTTGTTGTCATCTATACTGCTTTGTGATTGGTCACATCTCTGACTTTGGGGTCAGATTCCATGGTGGATCACTCTGTCCAACAGCACACCAACTGCTACTGACCACTGTTTTCATCAGATCCAGTTAGACTCTTGGGAAGTTCTGCACTGTAGGAACACAGAACAACAGTGTGAGTCGTGTAGTGTGAAAGGAGTTGAGAGTGAAAGAGCAGCTTAATATCAGAATCAAGTAAAAGTGTTGATACTTCAGTGAAATCATGACTGAAGTAGAAGTAAAAACAGTTTAATAAAAATCAACATGATTAGGAGTAAAAATGTATCAGATCAATAATCCACTCAAGCCCTGAGTTTTCTGTAGGACTCAGTAACACAAACTGTACTTTTGTACTTTACCTCAAAAACAAATATGCAGAACTGATATAAGCTGTTCTTTAAAAGACAAAGTAGGTTGCTGTGAACAGGGCCTGTTTAAGGGCCAACAAGGACTAAACCTTATAAGTTCTATTACTCTGGAATGATGACTTATAAAAGTCTTTCAAACAGAACAAATGTGTCACTTTAGTTTTATCAACATATCATTTACTTCATAAAACATCGTATGTCATACTGTGATTACTGACATAAGCTGTTAATAAATATTAAAGCACTGCTTTATGATTACAGTAAATGCTTATGCCAATGTCATTATAAGTCTTTTTGAATGTAGCCTTAAAATAAATAAAACACAATGTATTCCAATAATTTCATAAACCTCTCATTTTCTTAAAATGATGAACATGTTAGTGAGATATTTTGGTCTGAAATGAAATGCTAAAGCTACAAAGTATAATAACATTTAATAAAAAATCCTTTATAGTCCCTTCATAAGTAGCCTTGGTTCAGCCTATTAGCACAGTTATAACAATGGCAGCACTAGCACTCCTAAGGTATTTGTAAAGTGTTGCATGTAAACATTTTTATTGCAGCTCTAACTTTAACAGACATACAAGGTTATTAGACACATTCTGTTTACCTACTGGACTTAATGCCTGTCTCTGAATATTACTGGAGGAGCCTGTTATCACTCATGTTCACTGTCAGTGACGTATCCTCATCTTCCAGAAGATCTGGGATGATGTCAAACCTGAACATGATTGGTTGATTCCACTGTCACTTCCTAATTATGCTGGTGGTTGATCTGACATGTAAGGTCTTCTGTCCATCTCCTGAAGGCCTCACCAATGGGAGTGGTAGCTTAGTCATATCTACCTAAATACAGGGGAAGGAAAAACATTGTGTTGACAATTCAGCTGTTATGATGTTAATCCTTTTGTTTCCAACACAAAAAAACAAAACCCAAATAAGACCATTAGGACATTTGCAGAGCTTCTTCTTAGTCCATCCAGCAAGCATCTCCAGTATCAGCACAGATAATGAAGAGTCTTCTCTTTTTGGATCCTTGTGGTCTAAAAAAATTCTAAATCTCCGAAATAAGAGGTGTGAGCAACAGTAAACCAGTCCAGCAGCTGAACCAACACAACCCAAAAAGGAAATAGAAGCTAAATGTTAATGAATGAAATGGACCTGAGAAAAAAGCAGGTTATTTACGCACAAACATGCTTGTGTAGAAGTAAAGTATTATCATTTATAAATACTCAGAGAAATAATAATCCATCAAAAAACTGCTTAATACTCACCTCTAAACATCATCTACTAATAAAAAACTACTTCTTTAAGTGATTCCATCTAAAGTCCTGATTTCCACAGAGTGTGTTATTGTGTGTGTCCATCCTCCCCCTCAGCACCTGCAGTAGAGTCCAGCTGCAGCAGTGCAGTCTCTGTGCAGCTGACTGAGGGAGCTTTTTGTACACCTACTAAACACTGTGGGAACACGTAGCTACTACTGATAACATGGAAACTCTGACAGTAATAATCTCCTGCATCTTCAGTCTGGACATTACTGATGGTCAGAGTGAACTCAGATCCAGATCCACTGCCACTGAATCGATCTGGAACACCTGACTGTCTAGTGTTAGCTTTGTAGATGAGGAGTTTAGGAGCTTCTCCAGGCTTCTGTAGATACCAGGCTAAAGGTTGATTACTCCATCCTTGGTACACCTGAGTGCTGGTTCTACAGCTAATGGTCACTGAGTCTCCTGGAGAAACAGTTTTCACTGCAGGAGTCTGAGTCACAGTCACCTGACCACTGGATCCTGAGAAAATATCAATCAATGATAATCTATATTACAAATAAAATTCAAAATAATATAAAATATGTACACAACAAAAAATAAAAACATGCATATAAATATACTTAAAGAACTGATTTACTTAGAGTTAAATAAATGAGTAACCTTGAGTCCAGAGGGTGAGTGTCCAGATGAAGATGGAGACCAAAGTCATGGTTGCTGTGGGTGAAGTTTGTGGGGCAGCAGCTCTCAGTCATGAAGTGTTAAACTCACAGGACTATAAACACTAGCAGAGCACTGAAGCATGGGCTGATAATGCAAAGTGGAGCCTCTATGGAAATCATCTTTCTATCAACACTGAGTAAAGATGATCATATTTATCTGATATTGTTTGATCAGACATTTCTGCTCAGTGTGGAATCTGATGTTTAAAGTGCAGCTTTTTATAGAGATGTGGGAAAATGAAATCTCTTCTGATTCCCTCCAGAGTTTTCTGAAAGAAGACAGAATGATTTGAGCGTTATATTACATTTCACTCCCCCAGATGATCCTTAAGGCATTAAGTGGAGAGGAAAAATAAGGGGGTCACAGAGGTTTGTGGAGGTCAGTAGTGGAGACTATTGCTGGGAGCTACTTCAGCTCAGCCAGGCTTGTCTAATTCTAGAGAGATTAGAAGTGAAATGTTCCCTTTAATGTCCAGCAGAGGGCGATCTCTTATTGTGCAGTTCTGACTGTCTCTGCCTTTCATTTGAGGTTTTCTGCAGCTACGACTGCCACCCAGTCTGTCTGTATCAGGGCTGGAGGACTTTTTGGTGGAGGAAACACAATGAAAACAGTAAGAACCATTTAATATAATACTTTTAGAAGAACTTTGATTTTTTTAACATTATTTAGAGATTTAAAAGTGTATATTTAGTCTTTAGAAATTAAACTTTGTTTGTCTGTTGTGTAAATTCAGAAGAACCAATCGTGTCCTCAGTTTAGATGTTTTCCTGCTTATAAAATAATCCTTGTTGGGAATAAAAGGCAGAACGTGTGTAGATCTACAGTGTGTAGTTTATTTCATTATTAGATGATTATAGAATCCATTAATATTGTATTATAGGTCAGAAATAGTGCGTGTAGAGGCTGAAGAGAGCGGCGTGTTTAGAGCAGGAGGTTTTTGTACAGCCAGTAAACAAGTTTGTTAATAGTTAAACTCTACCTAAAATATCATTAAATCATTATTCAGATTTGTATGAATTAATCAGATTCAGAGACTCTAATAACTCCAGAATCTACCAGCAACTTTCATTAACCTGAAAACACTGATTCATCACACTGTTATACACAATCAGGCATTTATTTGGTTGTATTTCTAATAACAATAATAATAGTAATAATAATAATCAGAAAAATTATATTGATAATTGTTTTATTTGAATAGTGCACTTTTCACTCCTCATGTCAATTTACATATTAAAAATTGAAATTAAGAGTACAGCAAATTGAGAGCAAACATGCAGGTTTTGAATTGTGTCTTAAAGGCTGAGACAGATGAGATCATGGAGACTCTGAGGAAGTGATTTGCAAACCCCTCCCACTGACTGAGGACAGTCTGATTCACTCTAATCAGACCAGTTCCAGAAGACCTGAGTGTCCGAGCTGGTGTGTGGAGATGAAGGAGTTCAGTAATGTATGAAGGTCAAGGCCATGTATGTCTGTGAAAGCCATGAGCAGCAGCCTGTACTGACCACACAAAGGGACAGATAAGCAGTGCAGTTTATGGAGAGCAGGTGTGATGAGGGCAGAGTGCTTAGTGTGAGTGAGGACTCCAGCTGCTGAGTTCTGAACAGACTGTTATTTAGGGAGGGGTTTAACTGGGAGTCCACTAAGAAGGTCATTACAGTGATGAAGGTGGGAACTGATAAAGACACTAATCTACATTTCTGAATCACTGCTGATAATCAGGGGGCGGAGTCTGGAAATATAATGAAGGTGGTAGAAGACAGTCTGGATTCAGAAGAGAGTGAGGAATCAAATATGACACCAAGATTATGAAGAGTTTGTGAGGGTTTTATCTGAACTCCATCAATGTCTAACATTATTTCAGAGTGGGTGCTGAAAAAATTATTAGAGGCAGATATTGATACATCAATTTTATCTGTGTTGAATTTAAGGAAATTAGCTCATCCAAATCTTAATATCACAGATAAAGACAGTTATAGAGGGAGGGGCTGGTGGAGAGTGGTCTTTGGTGGCTGATATAAATTTGTGTTTCATCAGTGTAACAATGAAAACTGAGTCAATACTGAAATATGCGTATAAATTAAGAAAAGAAGGTGGCCCAGAACAGAACCCTGAGGAACACCCTGAGCAAATGGAGCAGTGGGAGATTTGTGTTGTTGTGTGCTGAAAAGCAGTGGTGGACAGTAATTAATTGTAATTATTCAATTTCATGTACTGAAGTAAAAAAATATGGACTTGTTTTTTCCTGAGTAATTTCAAATCACAATGCATGTACTTTTACTGACATATATTACTGAGTAAACTACTTTCAACTGGGTTATATTTTTGCCATTACTGTTTACTTCCTAATTCCTTTGTTGTGTTTGAATTGTGGAATGTTGTATTTTTGACATCAGTGATGCTTTGAGTGTCTTTTTTAGATGAAATAAACACTCAACACACTCTCAGTAACATCAACAACATATCAATGATGTACCAGCAGTAACACTGAGTAGATTTCCGAGAGATTTTAATTATCTGTGTAAATAAAATGTGTTTATAATCTGTTGAATTCAGTTGTTTTTCACTGTATTTGGTGTCCAAGTTCAGATCTGTAGATGTTTAACCTGAAAGGAACTGAACATGTAACAGGTTTAATACAGACCCTCAACATCCTCATCTAACTTTTTCTCCGGCCACTGGGACACCGTAAAAACTTTAGCTTCGCGGGTGCGACAATTCGTCGCTTATTAAGGTTAGGGACCGGCACTAGGAATGCCGGCGCGAGGTGTAACGGGCGGAGGAGCCAGGTGCAGCTTGTCATACATCTGGCCCGTGGCTCCGCCTCGGCCCAAGGCCACCTCCACTTAAGGCGAGGTTTTTCGTGCGCACCTCCCTTAGCCCGGCCTCCAGGCAAGATGGTGGGTAAGCAGCACACAGACACACGCCGCGTGGTCTCTCTCTTTGCT